TTGATAAAAACAGATTGAAGAAGACTTGCTTCTGTGTGAAACTTTGAAAACTCATACCACTGGTGAGAACATATTGAACTTTATGCAGAAGTACATGAACACACACAGTATAAATTGGGACAAATGTGTAGATGTGTGCAGTGATGGTGCCGAAGCAATGGTTGGGAAAGTGGCAGGCGCTGTGACATGAATAAGAAATGTAGCAGAAAACAGCACCAGTTCTCACTGTGTTCTTCACAGACATGCACTGGTAGCTAAAAATATTTCAATCTCACTTAAAACTGTGCTAGACGAATCGGTCCAGATTATTAATTTTATAAAAAGTCGACCATTACAGTCACGACTATTTAAAATTATATGTCAAGATATGGGTAGTCACCACTCTGCTCTGCTTTTGCATTCATAAGTCTGTTGGCTATCACGAGGTAAAGTCCTTGTTAGAATGTTTGAATTACGTCAAGAGTTGTTTGCATAATGAGTGGGTTCAAATTTCATTCATAAAAGACAAGCAAGCCAATTTTTCTGATGTAGATTTTGAGAATCTGATCGATATAACTTCTGACAGTCAACTAAGCCAACAATTGAAAGAAGTTGCACGAAGAATACCCCAAATTATCCAAGTTGGGCAATCAAAGTTCTGTTGCCTATTCACCAGCACATACTTATGTAAAACTGGATTCTCGCTTTACTCTGCAATAAAAACAAAGTATCGAAATCGACTTGACGCAACTGCGGACATGTGAATACAATTGTCAACAATTAAACCAGATTTAACAAGAATTTGCCAGCAAAAGAGAACATTACACTCTGCTCATTAAAAGGTTTGCGCTGTGATACTCTACAGCACACATTTTTTTGTTGGGGTTCCAAAGTTTTGCTATACCATGTCAAAGGGAAAAATTAATTGGGAAACCCTGCCTTATACTAAAGTCTTGCATATTTGCCCTCCGGAAAAGGCTAAGTCCATTGGAAAACATTCATTGTTTTAGTCTTTGATGGGATTTATCAAAGTGTCATAATCTCAGAAGTGGTTTAAAGCTGTATATGTAGAGTAATCACCTATAGAATGTTTGTGCTAATCTTGTTTCCATAGAAATCTTTGCATCACTTTTCA